TATGGTTCTTCCCCCATCAAGAGAGATGGAGGCATTGTCATCGTTATTATTACAATATTCTGTTGTTGTTGTGAACATTAACAGGATCTGAGGTCATTTAACAAGGCGATTTCTCCTGTGTTCGTAAGAGTTATTAATCAAGTCATTTTGTGATGGTGTTGACCTGTTTCATTGGAAGTTATGGAGAACCTGACATTCTGTAGCCTAACGCCTGCCCATAGATTGTAGTGCCATGCAAACCTGAGGAGGGTGGTTTGTGGAGTAGTTAACAAACACTAAAGCCCATGGGCTGTTTTAGGATGTGGGTAGTTAGCTTGCTAAGTTCAGATGAAATGAAACTTATGAACACAGGCTGAGTTACAGGACAGACCCCACAAGCACCTGCCATGTGCATAAATCAGCGCGGCTTCTTTAAGCCACCTTGTGTGAAACTGATTCTATAAACCAAGCCACTGTCTTATTTCCCTCCATGTATCCTTTCTTCTTACACTGAAGAGAAAAGGTGAGTGTTTTCTTATACGTCTATTTGCTCAAGCATCTTCTACATCTAGTGTTATAAGTTTATAAGCATTTGAAAATATACAATAATTTATACATGTGAATAAGAAGCAGGAGGAGGAGTTTTCAGGAAGTAACATCAAAATGGCTTCCAGTGGGATATGCTGAAAATGCCATACATTTCCAGAATGCCCTTAGAGATGCTGCAAATGCCCAGTTTTTAGTACTTGTTCAAAGAAGGAAGACAGCACATAAATATCATGGACTCTTAAGACCCAGAAGAAAATGGAGGGTCCCAGACAAATAGTTTCATAACCATACTGAGGAAGACACGTTCTATCCACCATTGTTGTCATCTGTCCTCACAATACCCCATGTAAGATAGGAAATTCTCAATAATCCATCAAAACCAAATAGGAACTCAGATAGAAAGTAAATCCTCTGAGTTTCCTAAGGTCACAAAGAGAGTCTGAGGCAGAACCAAGGCTTCTGAATCCCTGCCAGTGTCCTTATCATCTAGACAATTGTTCCTTCCTTCTAATGTAAATGTTAATTTTATTTTTTACATTGTTTATAGCTGAGCCTTGAAGAACTGCCACAATAAGGGCAAGCCCATCCAGCTCAGCATCCTGTCTCTAAGGAGCAGCCATGTGAGATGAACAGCTTATAGTCAGTCACCATCTACCACAGTTCCCAGTAAATGCTGTTGCACCTATTGTCCACGCTGATGAACAGCCCTTGACGCTGTCATGAATGACACACACACAGTGTTCAGGGTGAAATCCTTCACAGAATCAAAGGATCACAAAAACGCTGTACTTTGTTTGAGCGTAACAACATATGGCGAGGCCTTTGCTGAACCACTAGGCCTCACTTTCCAGTCTATGGTATAAAGCATGTTGTAGGTAACTTGTACAAAGTATCCGCACCTGTAATCTACCATATTACATTATTGTCAGTCAACAGTCTTGGCTGCAAATATTCTACAAAGCTAGAAATGGACATATATAGGTCGAGCCCTACCCCCTCTTTTTTTTGGCTGCAGTGCAGTATGGATTCATAAAAGCGGAAAGAGTGCACCTTGTGGGTCAGCTTCATTTAGAAGCAGGCATCTGCATTGTTACAGAACACAATCCACCACATGATGGCTGATTTATATGGGCCTAAATGCAGCTAACTCTGTTCTGGATTGCAGATACCAAATAAGTGAATGAAATACACATAATATCTGTGTGCTTGTAAATGTAATTGCTTTGTTTATCCCTAGGATAGTGGCATAGTGAATAGAAATAAGAGTATCAATGTAATATTGTGTGTGGGCATGGGTGCACCACAGGGTCATATCTAAACAACTCATTACCTTTCTTGGAGTTTAGCTACATTGTTTCTAGATACCTGTTTTGTTTTTAGCTTCACTTCCTCCCTTTGTGACCAATGGGTGCTTTCAATTACCGATCAAGGCTAACTTCAGATCTCTTTAGAGAGCCTTTTGCAAGGTTAACTGTGCACTTAATAAGTAATGGTGTTCAAGGAGGAATTAATGCAGGACCATATAAGCACTGGAGCATAACTGCTGAACTCAGTCCCCTGACTTGGGGCAGCATCCCAACTGCATGCACTTGCCCTGGTCCAGTAAGAGTGATCTTGCATGTTTTGTGGATGTGACCCCTGCAAAATCAAGCCATGAGAGCTCAAACAGGAAATCATTAACAGAGGCCAATTAAAAGATTGCTCAAAAAGACAGCTAGTCCACCCTGACAAAAATGATGGACTAATTTCAGTTTGGAAAAATTCAGCCATGTGAACATCCATCAAAAAAATCTTGTTTTTGGATTTTTGTGCTGTGTATAGTCTCCCCTGTCTTCAGGCACATCAATCTTCTATTTCAATGCAGAGAGAACTACATCCGGCATGCAACACCTTAGATTGTCACAGCATAATGCGTGTACGCTAATCCTCCCATCCCTCCAAAGGTTGTTCTTCCACTGGGGCCCTTCTACCATCTGTTTCTCAAATGAGAAAGTAAACAACAACACACCTGCAGTGTATCCTTCCCACCTAGAGCCCAATCAATGTTCATCCCTCCCTTCTTACAACATTCTTCATGATATGGCAAGAGTATCTGCAGTGCTGTAGAAAAGCTAGGGAACCCCATCTTCTCACATTCAACACGTCTCACTATACTACCTTGCAAGGTGAGACATTCCAGTTGGAGGAGTCACATTACAGCACATTTACTCAGGGTAAGTCGCATTTCATTCAATGGGGCTGAGTGTGCTTGGTACTCTTAGATGATCCTTTGCAGAGGAGTTGGGAAATGCCACTTTGCACATGAGACTATAGAGCGACAGTGGCCAGTACTTCCTGAGGAACCCCACGATATAGCCAAGTCCATACACCAACCATTTCAGCCACAAGAGGACTGCTTCGTCCTCTTCTAGTAGCAGCTGCCACTTTCTAGATTCCAGGGGGCCTGCATGGCTGCAAGGAATGGAGACAGGCAAAATGGCTTTACCGTACACTTCAAGTTTATTTAAAATCATCTGCTAATCTTCATGAGAAGTAAACTATGTTAGTACTCAAATTATGGGACAAAATGGAGGGGGGCATTAATGAAATCTGTGAATCCTACTCTCTGTTTTTCTCCAATTTAGCCACATTATATCCTTCCAAAAACAGTGACTAATGGGATTGCTACAAAAGGCAAGGGTGCTGGGTACCTCCATCCTGTCCCCTGCCCCTGGAAATTTAAGCTCTGAATGCATATCACTCTATAATACTGTCCCTTATATACATGCTATTCCTGCTTAAGAGCCACAACTTTTAAGTCTTAAAAGAAACAAACAAGCAAAAACAGATTTCAGACCACCTTTCAGTGAATACTCCTGAGTAGATTCTAGTGTGAATGACATGGCAATCTACTCCGAAATAAACCCCCTAAATTCCATTTGATTCCTCCAAGATTGAAACATAGAGGGTTCTAGTCAGAATACAAACATTTACCTGCTGTCGTTCTGCATACATGTACCTGGAAGAAAGCCCCTGAATTCAAAGAGGCATACTTTTAATTAGACATGTACAGAATTTCACTGTGAAAGTATGTCTCTGACACTTCATTTCCCCCCAAGGTATGTCCTGCCCTACAGCACAGTACAGGTATCATGGAAACTGCAAAAAAGCAAATAAATATCTATCTACTTTTCTACGGTTTTCAGCATTTGTGAATTGATATCATATTTTAATACAAAGCACATTCTTGAAAAGACTTTGGTTATTCTAACATTTTAAAATTGAATTTGTAAAGTATAATTTTGTTCAAACAGTTTGTAGCTGATTCAATATAATTTAGATGTAAAATATGTAACAAAATTATATTCACTGTATTCCCTGCAAAAACCTCCGTTTGCAAAGCTGTAGCATCAGTCACAATATAAAAACTAGTCCAGTCAGATAAAGTACATTTAGTCAAGTAAGCTGATCTGTGGGGTTAATTCTGCAGATGTCCAGCTACTTATTTTAACTACAGATTTATGTATATTGTACTTAAAATTATTGAACTATCTACATGGAGCACAATTAATCTTTTGAGCCTAAATGTAATCTGTAATTCTTTTTTTCAATTCCACAGTTTACAACAATTGTCCTTCTGGAAAGGCTACTATTAATCTTCCCTGCCCAAAATAGAAGAATTAAGTTTGTGCATAATGAAAATATTTCATTGGAAGAAAATTATTTTGCTTTTCGGATATTGTGAATGGCCTGCTCCTCAAACAGTTTTATCGGATCTGGAAATCAAAAGCAGTCAAGTGTTTATTGGACAAGCTGTCGTCTTGTTCATCCAGTAGTGGACCCTGCACGCCTCCTAACCAAACTTTTCAAAACCCTTCTGCCAACTATATAATTCCATTAGTCTAGCTTGGAAAAGAGCAGCTGTTTCTAGCACTTGCCGACAAGCAGACAAGTGGAGCTAAGAAACAGACCTCTCTCCCTTCGCGCCCCCACCCCCGCCAAGGCTCTCTAGAAAATCCCCTGGAGCCGGATCCCTTTCCTGGACAAAGGGCTGCCTCCTAACAGCTGCGGGAGGCGACGAGCGGAGGATGAGCGAGAGTGCGGCGGAGGCGGTTGCTTTAAGATTCGGTAGGTAGCTGGCTTTGCTCTAAAGCAGGATCCTTGCTAAAACAGACGGGAGGGTCGAATGACCAAAATTCTCTCTACTTAGGAAAAGCTGGTGTCGTGCGCGGGTGTGTGCGAGCGAGAGAGAGAGAGAATGAGTGATCTATCTATCTATCCATCTATCTATCTGCAGGCAGAGCTATTCCTTACGGCCATCTAATCTGTCTGCAGGAATTCCCCGTCCAAGACGAGATGAAATGGGTTGGAAAGAAGGACAGAGGGAGGACTGGAGCGAAGCCCCCCGGAGCAGCAGCAGCTGCTGCTATCGCGCGCGCACACACACACAGCTTCCCCCTCCACCCTTTTCCCCTTCCCATCCTCTCACTCACCCGCGTTGCCGCTGCTGCTGGTGTGTTGTCGGTCCGTCGCCGGATCCCAAGCACTGACTGATGCAGCGGCGGAAGGCTGCGGGCTCTCTTTCTCCCTGGGAAGCAGCAGCAAGGAAACCGCAGCAAAGGAGGGTTCCTCCCGGGTGGATACAGACGATCCCCTCGGCTCCGTCGCGGTGAACTGGGAGCGATCGGTGGACGAGGAAGAGGAAAAGGCGGCGGGGCTGGGGATGGACACGGAGGCGAGGGGAAAAGATCCCACGAAGAGAGGCAGCCCCACCAGCAGAAGGAGGCTGAATTGATGGATCAGAAAAGTGCACGTTGCTGGCATGATGCTTGGGGCTTCACATGCCCGGTGGAAATTAATAATAATAATTAATAAGAATTAATGCCGTAAGCACCATGCTCGGCGGGAAGAACGGAAGGGGAACCCGACTAGAGGGAAGGAGCGGGCCCTGCGCTGAAAGTGCCCCGCCGGGTCCACTGTGAAGCGGCTGGGTGAAGGGAGCTCATGGTCGCGAGCGGGGCTGGAGCGAGCAGCAGCCTCTAAGTGCCTGGCAGCCGCATGCGAACTGCACGGAGCCTGAAAGTAAAAGCACGCAAGGGCAGGCTCCGCCCCGAGGCTGACGTCACCGCGCGAGCGGCGCCCCTCCGCCCAGGCAGGCCGCTCGGCGGTCCCGCGACCCTGGCGGTGTCGCCTGGCTGCGGGGAGCGGGGATCGAGCGGGTCTGGCTCGCGCTGCGGACGCGCTGGTGCAAATCGGGAGGGAACTTCCACGGCACACGGGAAGCCGGAATGTGCCCCGGGGCGTCCAGGAGCCTGGAAGGCGAGCGAGGGAATGGGACGTGCTCGTCCGTGGCCGAAACTCGGGGCATAACGTGTAGCGCTCGACAGTGGACATTACAGGCCAGCGGGGCTTCCTGTTTCCCCTTGACACATCCCGCCTGCGAGTGGGACACTTTCCCAAGCCGGTGCCCTCCGGTTGTTTTGACGTTCAGCTCCACTCAGCCCCAGCCTGCACGGCGATGGTCAGCAGTGCTGAGAAACATCTGAAAGACAGCAGATTGGAGAAGGCTAGATTATACCTTAGGTTCCTCACAAGAGAGAATAAGGTGGGGTATGAATGCAATTTAATAATAATAAAGTGCAACAGAATAAAATGGCTAAATCATGCCCTGCAGGCTACAGGGATGGCAGAGAGTGCAGTCTTTAAGTAAGGGACTTAAAATGTGAGAAAAGGACCTGCCATATGTTGGAATGGTGAAAACGATGTATGAATGCCATTTCATTGCCGTGCCCAGTGGGTGTTCTTGGACATGGCAGTGAAATTGCTTTCATATTTTTACCTTCCAACTGTAAGTTTCATATAAAACTTACATTTCCATTCTTTTTGTTATCATTAGTGAAACAAAGATATATACATGAGTCATAGTCATAGATAGCCATGGGAAAGTATTTTGTCAATTCCATCAGGTGACTGGCTGCAGTAAAAGCTTTTAAAGCATCTGGCTCAATAAGCACTCTTCCCCCCACAGGTGTTACGGCTGTCTAGGATTACATCCAAATTGTTTAGAAACGAAAACCATATTACACCACAAATTATAGCACCTGCATAAATACAACCTTACAACATGCATAAAAATATATTACAAAAGATAGAAACTATTGATCTGCTCTTCATCAAATCTGTACTCTTCATTCCAGGAATAATAAATTACTTCTCATGGTAATTATTCATTGTCTGCCTTCTCTAACCCAGACTTCATTTCAAAATTATTATTTTCTGTTTTCTATCTCACATTTGCAGATTGTGACTAGACTTGGACAGGGAAGACAAAAAGAGCAGTACTCTTGCCAGGTGTTGGAAGAGAAAGGAAGGATGCAACAGAGATATTTCTTGGGTGCCTTCATTGTACGTGTGGGATTTTACTGACCTAACCATGGGAGAGAGACGCCATTTGATGTTAGTTGTTGTTCCCTACATTGCAATAGACTGGCATGGTTAGCCCTCTGGGTTCTTTTTCACGATGCATTCAAAACTATTTCCCCTAGATCCATTAGACTGAACACTCTTGAAATCAAAGAACGTAACAGTTTAAAGTTGCAGTAGGAAGGACTGTTGCAATATACCTGGATGGCTCTGTGAGGACAGTGCGATTCAGTGCAGCAAATGAGAGCAGCTAGTTTAAGAAGGCATCTGAGTCCATTCTCCAGAAAGTAGGTGATTCAAGACAAAGGGGTCCTAGTACGAGCAATCAGAAGATACTATGCAGTAATTTAGTCTTTGTGCTTTAATAGGTTTTCTGTGATAAGGAGAAAGATGCAATGAAAGGTGGGAAAACACAAGTGGGTGGTGACAACAGATTGAGGTAGGCCAATGTGCAATAAAAGCCTTGTCTGGAACACGTCTCGTCTAAGCTTTGCTTGCTGTCATGCTGGACTTCACTGATAACATTCTGAAACGATAACATTCTGTCCTTCATGCTTACAGATTCAAGTACAAGATTAAATAAGTAGACATGTTGTCCAAAAATAGCAGCTGTGTCAGAGTGGGGCTTTGCCTCAGCTCAGTTCCACACGCTCCTCCCTCACTGAGCCCTACTCACCGCGATAGCGCTCCCAGCATGCAATGTGTGCTATTCCTGGATGTACATAAAATGGTACCCCTGGCACAGAAGATGTCCCCTTTGGATACCAAAGTTCTTCTCCCTCTCCCTCTCCCTCAAACAATTCCATGAGGTAAATCAGTTACACTGGCCTCATAAGAGCAATATAAGGGCTGCATTATGGATTGTCAGGACTACTCTCAAGACCCACTGAGAGAATCAACAGTTAACTTTGCTGTAAGGCTACCACAGAGTCCTGTGGCACCTTAACAGCTAATGAATTAACATGGGCATAAGCTTGGCTGGTCCAGTTTATGCAGCTACAGAACTGGATTCTAAATTATGAAATTTCACATTATATGCTTTTCAGCACCAGGTCAAGATCTTTTTATTTACCTGATATTTTAAAGTTTAAATATTTTAATTATGCTTTTAACCTCAGTCACGTGCTATTATGATGTATTTATTAGGTGTTTTATATTGTAAGCCGTTCAGAGACAAACCGTAACGGACGGGTTAGAAATACCCAAATAAATAAATAAAAAGATACTGCAGTACATTTGTTCATCCTTAAGAAGCCACAGCAATGAGACATGGAAGTCACTCACTGAATCAAGAGTGACTGTAGCCACCACACGCTTATAAAAACTTTGCTATGACATAAACAGCGAAGAGTCTCATGACAACTTAAAGCCTAACATGTTTATACTGATGTAAGTTTTCATGAACAATAACTGACATATTGGATGCCTTGAGTATTATGGAGAGTTTTACAGTGATGATGATGATGCAGAACTGTAAACAGGTAAAAAGGGAATGGAAAAAGTACAGACAGAGACAATCATATTAACAAGACTGGTCTTCAACTGTGCAATTTTTGCTGATAAACACATATCCAAATGTATCACCTTCCACTTTTTCCCTCACCACATGGACTATATAGAAACCTGAAACTCTCCACAGTACTCCATGCATCTGATGAAGTGGGCTATATCTTACAATGCCACAATACTGGTTGTACCGCACTAGACAAACATGGCTGCTCTCTGGAAATTTCCATAAAATACACCAATTTAGATATTGCTACTGCCTCTATAACTAACACATAATTGGAGAATGCACACAGATTTTCCTTAAGTTTTTCTGTGGTGCTTGGTCATGTCACTAAGAAAGTCATGCAGCAAGTAAGGAAATTCACTTAAAAAGTGCTTTAGATATAGCGTTTAATTTTGCAGTGCTTATAACAAATATAATGCAAATTCATAATATGTTACTTGCTGGCCAGCTAATGATAGCACAAAAATGGGTATCTAGTGACATATCTAAAGAAGGCAACTAGATTATTAACAAAAATAATGAATTACAGAAAAAACGGTACACCAAATTAGGACTCAAAAAAGAGAGACAGAAATCTGATTATTTGAATAATACACTTATGAACTGGGACAAAGTGAAATATGAACAAAATTATTTGTACTCAGTGTCTCAGAAGATAACACTTTTTGTTTTCATTTATGCTAAGTGAACCAAAATAAAAATTATTAGCCAGGAAAAGTGAGAATAATTGTAACTATAATTAATTTTTGTTATTTATAAAGAGGGAGAGAATGTTCTTTTTTGTATGAACTGTTACTATGAATCAATAAAACAATGTTAGCCAAAGCACCACCACAGTATGAGGCAGGTATCTTCATGATGATGCTACCACTTCATAACTACTTTCCCTGTAGAGCTCATGATAATAAAGCAAATATTAGCATGAAGAATGTAAGAAGGATCACACAGGATCAGACCAAAGATCACGCAAACCAACCAGATGCCTGCTGAAGGCCCACAATAGCAGGATATGGGCAAAGCCCTCCTCGTGCTCTCACTGTCCAGCTTTCACATCCATACGTAGTGATCAGGAATACAAGTTTGGTCTCCAGTAAAATGTCCATGCACTTGACCATCTTTTCTAGCTCCTTCATTGCTGCCCTTCAAAGACTCAATCTCCCTCAAATTTCTTGGCTGTAATCTCCCTTTGAAATGATGACTGAGCCAAGGTATGTAAAAGCTTTTACAAAATCAGTGTCTTCATTGTTGACAGAAAAATTCTGTAATTTTTCTGTTGTCATGATTTCTGATTTCTTCATTTTCAGCACCAGTTCTGCTTTTGCACTTTCTTCTTTCACTTTCATCAGGAAATCATTCCAACTCTTGGCTGCTTTCTGCCAGTAAGATGGTCTCATTTGCATATCATAAATTAGTGAAAATTGGTACCTTCCACCAATTTTCACTTCTTCTTCCCCTGATTCTAATCCAGCTTTCTTTATGATATGTTCTGCATACAGATTGAAGAGCTGGGGAGATAAAATACACCCTTGGCTAATGTCTTTGCCTATAGGAAACCATTTTTTTTCTTTTATTCTGCCTTACTGTAGGAGTTGGTTGTTTTGTTTTTTGTTTTGGTCCACAATAGAGGTTATGCTTCAGGACTAGCAACTGCTGAGGCACCCCGTTTCTTTCAGTACCATCCTTAACTTTTCCTGATCCACACAGTGAAAGGCTTTGCTGTAGTCTATAAAGCACTGACTGATCTTATAAAATTCTTTGATGAGCATCAGTATATATTTTTGGATACAATCTCAAGTGCTGCTTCTTTTACAGAATCCAGTGTGCATGTCAGACATTTCTTGTTCCATTCAGGGTAAAAATCTTTGTTGTAGCACCTTCAATATCACTTTGTTTGCACGGGAAATTAGTGCAATAGTTGCTGCACTCCTCTGCATCTCCTTTCATGGGAACTGGAATGTATATCGAACATTTCCAGTCTGTGGGCCATTGTTTTGTTTTCCATATTTTTGGCATTTTGGAACATTCCACTTGGAATGCTCTATCAGTACGCTAACTACTCTGGTGCTGTATTTCTCCCAAGTGCTTTTCACAGCACTTTCATCTTTTCTGTATA